GTGGCCCACTCAATGGCAAAAATGTAGATAACCTATATTCAATTAATTTAGCATTATTTATTCCAATTTAATCATTCCAAATTGAATTTTAATTGAACCTACCATAAAATTCTGTAATTCCTGATTAGCATATAACACAAATTAATTTCTGAATCGGTCGCCGATAAGGCTTTCAATTCGCGAACCGAAATTAAAACATGAACAGGTCATTCTGTAACAAACAGATAGAAATGCAATTAAGCAACAGACTCACGCAATCAATTTAGGATTTCACCTTAATTAATTACTTATCATGCTTAATCACAAATTAACGCTAATCAGAGGTGAGGGTTGTCACAGTATCCCACATTGCTAGAAGAGAAAAAGTTTAAATAGTTTATATAGACCAAGTTGGCATTTGGGTTTGGGTCCCAAGGGGCACCCAAGTTTTGTGAAGAGAGGAGTTATGGATGGGCTTGGACTCAAGACTATGGACAAGTGGGTTTATGTCAAAAATCCTCTGTGCATGCTCGGCCATGTTGTGTCGTGCTCGAGTTCGAGTGCGTGGTGCGTTAAGTTGGTCCAACCTAAGTCTTATGTTTTTGGGCCAAATTTAATTGAATTTTCAGTCCAAAAATCTTGCAGGAAATTTTTTATTTGGAAATTTGAATTCAAAATATTTCTAAAATGACCTCGGCGTTTTTCTGAAATGTTACAATATGGTCCTTCCCAAACCATTGCCTCTTTTCACCTTCTTCCTTACTGTTTCAATTTTTTTGAAGGGATGCAATCTCACCGAACAGTCATCATACTTTCTATAAATAGTCCCTCATTCTGCCATTCTAGACACTTCAATTTTCGTTCTTTCTTTTGTTCTTTTTTTCTTCTCTTTTGTTTCTATATTTTGTCAAAGAGAGATATAAACACAGTTCGGTTCGCCAGGCTCACCGTGGTTGTGCTACTTCAGTGAGAGTTTGATCATTGTATCGTAGGAGACAGACGCCATAAATACTCAAAGGCACCAATGCGAGGGCGAATTTTGTCTTAGGGAGATAGTGTTAAACACTAGACGCGATCACTTTGATTCTCTGAAAGTCTTTACTATTGTGAGTTCTTCATATTTATTTATTTTATGTAATTATTTTCTTTTTTTGGATTAATTTGTTTATTCCAGAAATTTTGTATCTTCTTATTTATTAATTTACACTTAAGATTGTTCAACCTCTCCCAATACACTTTCCATGTTTTATAACTAATTTACATTATCTTCAGATCTACAAAATATAATTGATGAGAAGTAAGAGCTTCTACAATGGCGAACTGTATGGTTTGTTATTGTTGTATTTTGCCTTAAAACTCTCAAATTTTCACTCCAATAGTTGTTGGACAATCTTCACTATATTTAAAAACAAATTATATTTGTGTACTTAACAACAAACGGAATACAGAAGAAATAAAGGAAAGGAGAGAGATTGTTTGATTACAAAAATCAAACCAGAAAATAGAATAAAATAAATAAAACAGATTTTTATTTTGTTACAAAAACATAATCCAAATCTGATATAAATAAATAATAAAACAGAAAATAAATTAACAACTTACTTTATTAATTTCTCGTACAAAGTTTTGATCAAGTCCAATGTTTAACATTGTGTCCTTAAGACAGATTCGTCCTCTTCACAGTGCTTTCAGATTGTGGACGTCTATCTCCCAGGATAAAATGATCAACAACGAATAATTGGAGCACTACAAATTATTCTCACAATGAACACGCTTTGTGTTTACATTTTTTCTCACAAAAAATTAGATGCCGCAAAATGCAGAGAGCAGTAGCAGATTTAAGGACGAAAATTGGAGTGAAAAATCCAAATGAAGGACTTGTCTATACATAGGTGTAATGGTGGCTTTTCAATTTGAATTCAACGGGTATAATACATGTTCGGTTTGAATTTTAAACAAATATTAAACTGTTTTGGGTTTGTATTTGAACAAATAAAAAACTGTACAGAAATTTTCGGAACTGTTTTGTACCGAAACCGTGAAGAGGTGCAAAAATTGAATTTGAATTTTGCAACAGAAATTTAAATTCAAACGATCAGAATTCATTTTGCAAAACTAAAAACTAAATTCAAATGTTTTTGGCCTAAAAAGATAGGTATTGGGCTGGACAAGCCCAACCCAACCTCACACCACACATCCGTGCCCAAACGCAGGCCCAGCCCAGCCCGACCGACCGGACAGACAGCGACGGCAGCACGCGCGCGTGTGGTTATTTTTGGATCTAATGGGTCTAACCCACTTTGCCCATAACCTCCCTCTCTACAAAACTTGGGTGCTGCTTGGGGCCTACCACAAGTTACAAACCCATCCTTATAAACCCATAAAATTCTTCTCACTAAACCAATGTGGGACATGCCTTTATTCAAACCTTAAGGAATTTCCACCAAAAACTCCATTTCCATGGAGCTCACTTTGGCTTCAATTTCCCATTCACCCGATAATGGTTTTGAGAAACCAAATATACCACGTGAATCACAATGCAACATAGAACGCATTACAACTTAGACCCGCCAAATTTGGCGCATGGGTCCCACGTAAAAAATAGACCAAAGTTGAGGAAAAATTTTGTTTTTCCATAACTTTCAAAACCAATCTCCCACATGAATGGAATTTGATGACAACGGAACTGCAACAATATGCACAATTCAATGAATAAAGATTACCATATAAAGTACCAGAACCAATCATATAAGAATTATGGAATAAAGAGACTCCATTATTTCCAAACTTAAATTCATAACCATGGGAATCAAGTTGTGAAATAGAAATTAGGTTTCTTGTAAAAACAGGAACATAAATTGTGTTTACTAAATCTAAAATGAACCAAAGTTTAAAATTAGATGGGGGGTGCTAATAATATCAGCGTCCACTTCTATTCCATTTCCAACCGTAATGGTTCGTTCTCCTTTATTTAGTTTTCGACTTGTATATCCTTGCATGGAATTTGTTATGTGAATACTTGCACCAGTGTCAATCCACCAAGAATTTGGTGGAACATCTACCAAAAATGATTCATAAGACGCAAAGCATTGAGTGCTACCTTTCTTATCCAACCAACCTTTAAAACCTGGACAGTCTTTTCTTACGTGACTTTCTTTCAACAGAAATGACATTGAGTCTTATTTTCTTCATTAGCCTTGTGAGTTTCATAATTTGCATTCTTTTTCTTCTTACTTTTGCCTTTCTTGAAAATCTTTTTGGTTGGACCCAAGGTGGTAAGGTGACCCATATCAGACTTTTGAACTTTAAGCCTCTCTTCTTCTTGAGCACATATGGCAATTAACTCACTCATCTTCCACTTATCTTTGTGAATATTATAATTGATCTTCTTCTTATACGTTTTATGCATCAGAATTGAGAACCATGCTCTAATACCAATTGATGGAAACTTTGCGGAACATAAACTAAGAACCGCGAAGGATTTGATTCTATACATGAAAACTATATGAGTTTCTACTATCCAAAATAACTGTATACGTACCTTGATCCATGATAGTATGAAAAACGTCTTTTGAGTAAGAGAAACCTTGAATAGAAGAACTTGATCTTCAACTTCTTTATTTGTTTAAGATCTTCAAACCATGTTTCTCTCTCTAGGCGATGGGAGCCTTCTTGTGGTGACAACTTGAGTTTTGTGATAGAGAGTGTGGTTTGGGACCTTACACTATTTGTACTAGTAAGCTTTCCATCAAAGAATCCATTCATTCAATGAACCTCATTAGATAGATTAATGTATCTTCTACATTCATAATAGATACATAATGTATCTCTAAGATTCATTCATAATGAATCTATCACATTCAATGCATTGACACTATCTCCATTAGTCTTCTATATATTATGTATATATAGGTGCATTCATCAATGATTAGTCACCATCTAATCAATGTACATGTATCTTGCTTAATGAGATGAATCTAGTATAATCATGCATAAGCCACATTAAGCCATATTCAGGAAAAATTCTTACACTTCAGCCTAAGTTCTGAGAAATTTATGAGTTTTTCTGAATTTTGTTGTTTAAAGTTTTATTGGGTCGGTACAGTATATCTTGATGATGTTTCGATTCATTACATTTATGGGAATTTCTATTTACGACTGTGTTTAATTCAATACTTTAGCTGAAGTTGATTTTTCTATAGAGGAGAGAAGACCGGAGCTATATGTTAAGGGTGCATTGCACATTGATGGTGTGCCGTTTGGGCTTCCCGCTAGAACAAGGTTTAGTTGATCTCATTCTTAAATTCTCATGTCAATTTGGTTGGTCAAAATAAAAATATGCATCTCTCTCATCTTATATATATATATATATATATATATAATACATCAGTTTTTGAACTACTAGAAGTTACACAAAATACCATGTAGTGTGAAAACAATAATTTGAAGTGGCTGGTTTTTTAATTTTTTCTACTTGTCTTCCTCGTTTACATTTGCAGGTTTGAATCAGTGGGCCAGACATATTGCTGGAACGAACTCATTACGTTGAGTACAAAATATCGAGACTTAATTGCCAACTCACAACTTGCATTAACAGTAAGTTATCAGTGTTTCTTTCTTGTCATCATGTTTATATGTGAGCATATATACATGTGTGTGTGTGTGTATGTGTGTGTTGGGAAGTGTCTGACGAGTGTCGTGTCGTGTCAATGTCCGACATGACACATTACCTTCTTAGAAGTGTCAGTGTTTCTTAGGCCATCTCTATGTTAAGATTATTGGGAATGTGGAAACTACTTGGAGCGAAAATGCTTGATGAATGACTGTAGTATCAGGGAGTTTCCATGACATAAACATATACGGGTACCTGTCTTTGCAAGGGTGGACCCAGGATTCATTGATGGGGTGGGCTAATATGAAGGTAAAATTATACAATATATTTTAAGTATAACCACATAAGAAAAAAGAGAATTTAATAATATAATCTACATTAATATCTAAATTTATTGATTAAAAACAATCTAACAAAGTTGTGCTCGATGAGTCTTTAAAGATTTGAATTCATCAATTACAGAATCTAAATCAATTTTCAAAGTAAGGTCTCGTTCAAGGTAGAGAGACAGGCAATCGGCAAGAAACTCATCCCCTATTGAATTACGAATGGTAGTTTTAACATGCTTCATACCCGAAAATGCTCTTGCCATAGTCGGTGTAGAAACTACAAGGATTAACATAAGACGAATCAATTTGTAGATTATGGTGTAATGCTCAAACTTTCTTGTCACAAATAGTTCTCAGCACAAATCGGCAAGGGTAGATTTTTTATGAAACTCGGGATCTCAAACAACATCAAGCTTATAATGCATTAATTGACATTTCAAAGCATGGATGTCCTGAGAAGTGAAATCTTGGGGATAAAATTTCTCGGCAAGATTGCAAATATTATCCACATTAAATGATCTAAAATTGCCACTTGGATGCAAAGCTGAGCTAAGAGAAAGAAGTTCCACTACCCCATCAGTAAATCAGTGTTCTAACTCTATTAATTGAAAATCAATTGTAGAGTTGACTATGTCAAAGTGATAATGATGCTCAATTGTAATGTGATCTTGTTGATGACGATGACTTGTACCTTCTTTATAAGGAGAACTCATATCATGCACTGCAATGTTATGTCGATTGCAAAATGACACCACATTTGCAAGAAAAATATCCCAATCATCTTGTCTAAGTTTTTGAAGTAGAGCTTTTGTTGTGGAGACTAATTTCATCGCATTTAAGATGTCTTGAGTTTTCTATTACAAGGCTTGACAAAGTGTATTCACAATTCCCAAAATATTGTCCATCAAGTGCAAGACGAATATGAATTCAAAGCTCTTCATTACTTTGTAAATACCATTAGCTTGCCCGCAAATTTGTTGATTTGTACTCTTCTTGAGACTTTCAACAACTACACAAGATGCTTCATACATATCAATCAAGTTTTTAACAGAGTCATAATGCGAGCTCCAACGAGTAGCTCCAACTTGATGCAAGGTACCTATTTGATTGGCCCCTTTACCAGATTGACGCTCAACATATTTTCAACCTCATTCCTATGAAAAGATTTTAACTCACCAAGGCGATTTGGAGAAGAAGCAACAAGATTGACAATACAACTCAAGTGAGAAAAAAATTGCCAAACAGTAGGCTCATCTTTTGTTGCAGCAATTAAGGCCAATTGCAGATGATGTGCAAAGCAATGTACATAATATGCATATGGGCAATCTTTAAGAAATAAAGCTTGAAGTCCAATCCATTCGCCACACATATTGTTAGCATCATCATACCCTTGACCACGCATGTTTTGAATAAGGAGATTAAATCAAGAAAGGAAATGTGATATCTCATTTTTAAGAGTCAATGCATATGTATTTTAAACACCCACGATATCAAAGAACCGTTCCCCTAGCAAACCATCATTCTTGACGTATCTCAAAATAAAGGCCATTTGTTCTTTTTTAGACTCATCTTGAGATTCATCAACAAGAATACAAAAATAACCTCTTGCAACTTCATCAAAAATCATATTCCTAACTCTGTTAGCAAATATATGCAAAATCCCATTTTGGATCTTGAGAGAAGTGTATTTGGCATTTTGTGGTGCATTCTTTAATATAATGCTCTCAAATGTATCATTCCCTCTCCCCTTGAACTTTAATAATTCAATTAGATTGCTTTGATTCAATGAAGTCGAGCTTTCATCATGACCTCTAAATCCAAGTCCTTGAAGAGCAAGTACTTGAATAGTTTCAATTGTTGCCTTTACCCGCATTCGATTCTTCAAAATTTCTTCTTTTGATTGCACATTCAACACTTTTTCAATGTTTTGGGAAGATTTCTTTAAATTTTCATGACTAATAACACAATGACTATGCGATGAAGATGCAAGTCTGACATGAAGCAAAAAAAACACATTTGGATCCATCATTTACTCTCTTCTAAACGTTAAACCCCTCATCAACAAGTGTAGAATGACTGATTGACTTATTTGATTGATCAAACAAAAAGCATGAAAAACAATATGCTTTATCCTTTGAAGGAGAATACTCTAGCCAAGAAGATTGTTTATGTTGGAATCAACGATTCTGCTTTCCAAATGAGGACCTAGGATACTCAAGTTTAGGTTGGTAAGGCCCCAAGTTTACATAAGCTCGTCTAACCTCATCCCGTTGATTAACCGGAAATTCACAAATTTGCAAGCATAAACCAGGATCCCGTTCAATAACAGTTGAATGAAATTTGCTTGGTTTATTTTGCTTGAGGCATGGAAGGCGGTTGCACATCAGAAAATGAGGTTTCGACAACATTGGATGTTGTACTACTATACTTCTATTTTGATTGATAGAATAAGAAAAGGGTTTTTCCTTTTTTTGAGTGGTGGAGGTTCCATTATTTATAACCTAAAATTTAAAAAAAAAAAAAATTAGTCTATTTAATATTATACCAGAGTATATTCACAATAATTTTAAATATAAGGTTTTTATATATATCCTTTATAATTTTTATTTAGGTTTTCATTATTTTTTATGTATGTCCAAAAAAAACTCTATCAAAGTTCAAAACTAAGAGCAAATAGAACATTGAACAAGGCATCATCATAGAAAAAACTAAGAGCAATATAATATTTGTTTCATAAAAAAACAAAGAGTAATCCATTCTCAACCAAATTAAGAATTAAGAAGAAAGAAAAGAAAAAAAGAAAAAGAAAAAAAAAGGTCAAAGTCATGAATTGTCAGTCAGAAAATATTACCTATACCACTGTAGGCGCGCCCTTGGGCTTCATTGCTACAGTTCGGACTCAAATGTCAGGTTCTTAATTGATCTCACAATGTGCGATGTGAGATTGATAAATCACCAAAGAGTTCAAATCCGGCAAATTGTTTTGGAAAACTGTTTTTTGTAAAGAAGTGCCAAACATGGACTGCTTTGCCAGATACAAAGTCGCCACCTGGATATTTTATTTTGGGGGAATTTAGGAAACCCTGACTCGTGCCTAAGGCCACGTGTCCGTCATCACCAAAGTTACCTCGGCTCGGGAACTTGGATACGATTGGGGAAGGTCATTTGATGAGCACCCCCGCTCGCTTGATCAAAGATCGGCCTGTACTAAGCTTGATATCTTGTTTTTGAAAACACATGTGCTCTTATTCCGGTTAATTAGCTAGAATTACTATGTGATGCGCATAGCAAAACAAGTATAAACTAGATCGCCTAATTTGGAACCAAGCATCGCATATCCGTTTGTTTGGAAAATGGTTTGGAGTTTTGCTACTTGTAAGTAGGCTAAAATGCGGATTTCAATGAATTGTCCCAATTCATGTAATCCAACCTTCACCCACAAGCATTCAGGCAGTTAATCACGTAAGAAAATAGCCTCATGGCAAGCATGCTTTCATGGCAACATTAACACACATGCAGTATGCTAAAGCGTAAACACTTGCAGTGTACTCCAAGCCAAAACAAGGAACTAGTTAGAAATCAATGCATGATCCTAGTTCATGTTAAAATGGCTAATGCAATACATGCAAAAATGCAATTAAGATAGGCTCGACTATCCCAAGAATGTCATGTGAGATGCAACTTGGTACATGTATTCAAATTGAAATTGAAATACAATGCAGTTAGCATGACGCGCCGAGCCTGGTGCTTGCAATACAGATGAATGGATGCAGACATGCAAGCATAAGGTATGCTAAATTAAATATACCCTAAAACTAACCATCGTAAGCGGTTAAGTAAAAGGGAGAAAGCAATGGGGATTAGAAGACATGCATCACACACATGCACGCTTATTACAACAATTTGCCCTCTCAAGGGAGGGGCCAAATAAGAAGCTAACTGGCTAATCTAAGCTAATTAAACTAATTATTACAAAACAAATTGAATAGCTAACGCATTAACCTATTAAGAGTACAAACCAAAACAAAAGCAAGCTTTCTAAGCATGGTAGCTAAGGAAAGCAGTAAATCAGGAGGTTCTCAGAGGGAGAAGACTGGATGCATGCTCGGTCGCCTTGTTCGGAAATCCAATGCAATGCCCCGATTTGCCTCTGTTTTTATTTGTCCTCAGAAACTTGCACCAAGCTCCAGAAAGATAAAACTCCATCTTAGGAATCCTGTGGGAGGGTGGCCGGCCATTTTTGGTCCCTAGAAACACCTGCCGACCACGTTTTGTTGTTGAAAACTAAGTGGTCGGCCAGCTGCTTTTTCTGGCTGGATGATCAGTTGTTGCTGCTGAACTGCAATTTGCTATAACAGAGAGCAAGAAAGGGAATGGCAATGTATTTGCAAGATATGTGTGCACAACCACCCCTCCCTATCATGTTATGAACTCAAGGGGGTGTGGTTCTCGACCCTTGCGCCACCAATCGTGCATTTTCATGCATGATGGCCGAGAGGCAAAGTTGCACAATTGAATATGAAAATGAATGCACAAGTAAACACATAAGGCCTAGAACCCTATCATGTATGATCAAGAGCATCGGCGACCGAGAATTGAGGCACATTTCATCACTTCAAGTATGAAGCGTCTCTCTTCGTGTTTGGACTAACACCTATTCCAAACACAATACAATCAAGCATGGCATACACAATGCGAATAAACTACATGGCATACTCAATGCAATGTGACATGATTAACTTAACAAAGCTAATGGCATGCGAACAATGCTAATGCGTGTATGCACAATGCAATGCTACAAGGACAAATTAGCAATGTTAGGGACATGCACACATAATGCAAATATCAGTTAGCATTCACAATGCAATGATGTAAACTAAGCATGCACAATGCAAAGTACAAGGCATACATAATGCGATGAACAATGTGGCATACTCAATGCAGTATACATGACATGTTCAATGGACTTAAACTAAAAGGGGTAAACCTCAGTCATGCCCAGATCAGTGGCCATTGGTGATGAAATGAAGGCACATAAAGCAAGGCATGCATGCACAATGCATTGGCCATCAAAGAGGCCAAAGAGCACAACTCTCAAGAGTGCTCGATGAGTGACAAAAGTGGAAGTGGAACAACACTAAGTCCACTGAAATGAAGCAAGAAATGATGCCAAATCATTCAAACAACATAAGTAAAGCATGCTAGGGTCCTAGGGCATAAAAGCTAGCAAAGAGCAACACAAAGGAGGCATGCAACACATGGCACAAATGCATGAACTAAGCATGGACAGAGCTCAATTAGGTCAAAACAAGGACCTAAGCATGCTAAGATGAGGGCCCAAAGGCCGAAGCATGCAAGCTAAGGCCATAACAAGGCCATAATGCATAACCCTTAAAGACATTCAAAGCATGAATGAAGTGGGAATAAAATCTTGCTACAAGCTCTGAAATATCATGTTAGATGATGCTAAATCATGCACACGACACAAATGAAGCATGCAATGGTGCTCAAAGCTTGAGGCAAGCAAGAGCATTTGTACTACAAGTATACAAAACATGAAGCATGTGATCAAGGCAATCCAAAATAGTCCTAGTACATGTTAGAATGAGTCTAAAACATGCATGGAAGTAGGCCAAAACATGCTAGCATGAAGGGCATAAGGCATGATTCATACAAGGCAAATAAGGCGGATTACACTGCACCTATTAAGACCAAGCATGGAATGACTTAAGCAATAAAAATCAGAGTTATATCATGGAAAAATAACCCCAAATAAGCGCTGAAATGATGGCTCGCAAGCTATGGCATGAAGGCATACGCAATGGTTCATATTAAGACATAAAAGGGGAAACCCTCCAACGCATTGAATGTGTGACAAATGTGAATGTATGGCCATGAAACATGAACTGAAATCACATTATAAATGATGCCAAATCATTCAAATAGTTCAAGTAATGCATGCTAGTGGACTTGATGCACAAAACTAGCAAGCTAGATTGAACTATAGCTATACAAAGCAAGTCATGCATGACCAAGACAACCAAAATTAGACCTTAAACATGGTAAAAAAATGAACAAAATCTTCTTTAATTCAAGCCAAAAGCATGCTAAAAAGACTTGTCAAAGCATGAAGCATGTTAGGCTATTTCATGGAAATGCACTACAAGTGCAAGGAGCATGCGAAGGCTAACCAAACCAAACCAAAATAGAGTCATGACAAGGAAAAACATCACCAAAAACATGCTGAAATGGAAAGAAAATAGGCTAGAAATACATGCTATTTCATGAAGCACATAAAGTTAGTTTGTATGATTTACACTACAAGTGTATTGACCATGCATGGAGTGACCAAAGCAAGTAAAGACAGTGTTATGCCTTAGCAAAATAACCACAAATACCAGC